GGGAGGGGGTAGCAGGGGGAGGGGGAGGCAAGTGTTTGTATGTTCCTCTGCTGTGCAAATTCCTTAGCAGCAGCACGTCTGCACTTCATGCTGTATTGGTATCAGCATTCGTCCTCTATGTATGGAAGCAGCATGCTCTTTTACTTCCCTCTGGAGACTGGGTGCTGTACTTGTATTACTTGCGTGATGCAATAGATCTAATAAAAATAACTTTTAAAGACCTGAAACCTTGTGTGGATGGTAGAGTGTTAGTCAATATTGCAACACTCTCCATTCCACGTGAGCATTAAGTCATCTTTAGAGCAATCTCACATCTTGAACAGATCAGCTTGCATCCTCTAGGCTTTGTTTGGCATTTTTAGTTACCATTTGTTAATCTTTTTCACTTGTTTGTTTCTTTTATTTTTCCCTTTGTTCACACTACATACTAGGCTTGGGAAAGCCTTCCCATTTCCCTAGTGTATTCACATCCCTTTTGCCTCACTAAAATCTACCCCTTTAACTTAATCTTCCAGTGTCAAGGTTTTATAGGATGCTCTCTGCTTCTGCTCCGATTCCTGAGGCATGCATTTGTCTATTTAGCTTACTGCCAGGCATCCTGTAGAAGAATGAACCTCTAGACTTGGGAATCATCTGATCAAGAATGTTTGTTGGTTGATCTGACTGCTTGTGTAATGGAAGAAAATGGTGAAAGCAGCAGCTAGGATGTTAGCCTGTAAGTTAAGAAATATGGGTTCAGTTTCCTGTCTGCAAAGACTTTCCTTATAAGACCTTGGGCAAGTCTGAAAGCCATATCCAAAAAAAACTCACATTGATGCAACTAAATGGATGTCAATATCAATAGGAGTTTAGGGATTGAATACTTTTCTAGATCTGTCCTTTAGCTTCACTCCACTTTGTCTGTAAAATGTGGTTTGAACTTTCCTGTTGGCCAAACAGCTATGCTTCTGAATGACCCTATGAATATGAGCATAAAGGCCCTGTTCAAGCAAGGGCCAGGAGTCAGGTGCATTAGCCCAGGCAATTATTTAGCTGGAGTGGGAGCACCCGGGTCTTTAACTTACCCACCAGCTGGTTCTGTTTGGAGAAAGGGAGGTTAGATCAGCTAAGGTTATGGATACATACAGCCTATTTTAAATGTAGTTTAAAACTGAAACACAGATGTATGAGCCAATTTAACTGGTTCACCTCAACCTTTCCAGCTGGGAATGGCCTGAGGTAGGCAAATTCCCTTTGGAGTTTAGAAAATAAAACTAACTTTATTGAAAGTAGTGAATTGTATAGCTTCTGTCTCTCCCCATCCCAGGGACTGGGAACCCACTGATTCCAGAGAGAAGAGTGCTTCAGGCAAGAGTAATGAGCTAGAGAGAAGGACGTGGCCCCTACGTGAAATGTAACAAGGTAAAGTTGGAGGGAAACTAAATGATAGTTTTATAGCTGGTTGGGGTCTTTCATGAGACAGCCTGGTTTACCCTGTAAAATGTTTTCTATATTTGGAAGAGGAGTGGCTTATTGCATGCTTTCTCTTGTAGCATGTTAAGTCTGGGCTTTCCATTTCTCTACACTCTCTTGTAGACATAGCGCAAACATCTTAAACACTAGCAATGCCAGGAATTTCTAATGAGAAACTGTCTGGTTCATGCCTTGGATTAATATCTGCAGGAACTAGTATACTCTTAACCTCAGGTTTGCTGGACATAAATCTCTCCCAAAATTCAAGTTTTAAAATCATATCTTCCTTGATTAGCATATGCAAGACCCAGTAAAGATATTCCCAAGCACAGAAAATGGCAGTGGTGCATTTTTGAACTAAAACACTTCAGAGGCGCTTTAATTCAAAAGTGCACCACCACCATTTTCTCTGTGCTGACATGCATTTTGCCACTTACACAAGTGCAAGCGGTGCAGCGTGGTGTGTCGGCTCCCGGGTGGAGCAGACTCGATTAATCAAGTCTGCTCCAAAGCAACGGATCTCCAGGGCATCTGAGAACTAAAAGGTGTGTGTATAAAGTGCCCTATGTGCCTTAGGTCACTTTGCTCCTTCTTGACTGGTGGTGTGCATATGTATATAACCTAGTGCAAATGCTTAAATGTTTCTGTGGCTCTTTACCTCTTTGCCTTTTCTCCAGAAGCCAAAATTGCTAGAGGTGGTTGCTATGGTAACCTTGTGTGAAATTTCAGAAGGGCAGAATTGCAAAGTTTTGAGCTGTGAGTGCAATGTACAAATTGTCTGTGGAGAAGTTGTTCAGAGTCTGGTATCTTTGAAATTATAAGGGTTTATCTTTATTTTTGTATTTTGAGGACTTGAACCACAAGAGAAGGATATTGGTGAGAGAATTATATGGGAAACCTCATGAAGAGAATGGTGAACCACAACCTGATGAATAGTGTAATTTTATCCCCTGCTTAGATTATGGAGAGAAGTGGTGGTACATATATTTTTTTTTAACAGTCTAGAGTGTCTTGACCTAGCCTGTTTTCTAGAATTACTGTGTATATCTGCACAGCCAAATGAAAGTGTAATGGTAGTGTGGGTACCCTGGATCCCTGAAGCATCTGTGTTCTGGCTGCTAGCCCATGTTGAAGCCTGTGTTGCTTTGTTTCAGATGCTATTTACTTGTGATAGCTGGATTAAAGCATGCCCTATGGGAATGCCTACCTGTACTACAATTTGTCTTGCTGGTTAGTCATATTTACTGTTTGGCCTTCCAGAGACAGAACTGTGTGCATTTGTCTGAAAAACACACTTCTCTCCACCCCTGCTGTGATGTAAATATAGAGGATGGCAGACAGCATGTTAGCTTAAGTCCTAATCTTTTCCAAAGATCACTGGCCATTTGGTAGCACCTGATTGGCGTGTCATATAGATATTAGGGTCAGAAGGGACCTCAACGGATCATCGAGTCCGACCCCCTGCCCTGGGCAGGAAAGAGCGCTGGGGTCAGATGCCTATCCAGCCTTCTCTTAAAGACCCCCAGGGTAGGGGAGAGCACCACCTCCCTTGGAGCCTGATCCAGATTCTGGCCACCCTTACCGTGAAGAGTTTCCTCCTAATGTCCACCCGAAATCTTTTCTCTGTCACTTTGTGACCGTTGCTCCTTGTTACCACAGGAGGCGCCCTGGTGAACAGAGCATCTCATTACAAAGCTTACTCTGTACCTTGGTGTAGCAGGGTACTGAAGTGCCTGCTACTTGTGGAGTAGTAATGAAGAAGCACAGGTGAAGGTTGCTAGGGCAACCAGTGGGAGTCAGCTAACCAAGAAGGGGCAGGGCCTGGCTCCTATATAACCACCAGGCTGAGGTCAGCAGTTCCCTGCTGGCAGCCAAAGGGGTGGGAATTGTGCCGGAGCAAGAGAAGAGAAGTGGCCAAGGTGCACAAGCAGTTGATACAGGTAAAGGAGGGAGCACCCTTGGGGGTGGCTTGAGTGATGTAGCCGATTGGCAGAAGTTTAAGTTATAGTCTAGGGGCTTGAGTTTTTTGTGTTTACTGTTACTACCGGTGGTTTGGGTGAGGCTATTAGTGGTTGGAGGAGGCCTCATAGGGGATTCACGGTAGCATGGGGACCCCGGTGCCAGAGAGGGTGCAGCGTTTTGGGGTGCACTGACTCCAGCCCCAGAGAAGGGGGCAGCAAGAGAGGCCCCAGGCGAAGGGGGCACGGTGAGAGACAAGGGCTGCGGGAAGCCAGAGCACCTGTGGGGGCGCAGTGAGAGACAAGGGCTGTGGCTAAGACTGAACAATGTCCGGTACATCTGTGAGGCTTGGGGTGAGGTCCAGGGGTGGCTGGAGCCATGCATAGTCCATACGGCCGGGGTGCACAGAACCCCCATTATAGAAACAAGACAAGTAATAGCAGGAGAACCGTGGTCAAGAGGACAGAAAGGCAGCCTCCCTTTACTATATATAAGACCAAGACATGGCGGGTGAGATTCGAGGATGCTTTGAGGTGAACTTGGCACGGTAAGGGGATGCTAGGGGAGATCACGGCCACCCCTAGGGCCCTGCTCTGTGACACTTGGATATGGATATCTCGGAGCTATAACTTTTTTTTTTTCCTTGCTGTCCCGGGAAAGAATCAATAACAATTTAATTTGTTAGAGGACTTTTCTCACATTGAAAAACATGGAAGAAGTTGAATGAATGAATGATTCTAGCAGCTCTGCCTGAATGCCTTCACTCTTGTCTCCTACAATAACATCAGCTATCTGTTGAAATTGGGTTGCACACCTGTGATGAATTATACCTGACTTGTGGCTGGCTTCCTTTGAAATCTGGCCTATACTTTAACAAATAGAGTTCTCTTCCCTGATCCACAGTGTTTGCTAAATTAGTGCAGTCCTGACAACTAGATTGGTTTGCATCTTGATTGGAGCAGGGGAATCTTCAGGTCTGCAGCTTAAGGTGGATTCTCCTCTGAGAGAAAAAAGGACTATACAGGAATGCTGGTGTTTAGTGGTGTATTAAAAAAAGAACAAATATTACATGGAAACTTGCATGACTAAGTCTGCAGCTGTGCATGTGGTTCCTAGGTGGGGGTTTTTATTTAAACCACAGAGTTTAAAACTTTTTTAACAAAAACAAAGCAGTCCTTCAAGATGACAAATAGAAATGCAGTCTATGTTTAGGAATCAGCAATAGGAGTTTAAGCTAATTCACCCCTGTCCTGAATTTAGACCTGATTTGTAGCTGACTTTTAGAAAGCAGGAAGGACAATATAGTGTTGCACTGGTTATCTCATCGGGTTGAGTCAAACTCCGTGAAGCCAGCATATGGTTCTTGGAGAAATTATGGGAAATTATGCCCTCAACTTTCCATTGGCCTCCCCAAGTATTTAAATTGCTGGAAGAATTAATAATACTTGGTAGGAGCCAAAGCTCGGGGGGGGGGGGGCGGGTTTTTTTCCAGTTT